TCATGCATGAACATATCATATCATGCTATCACACAAAACAATATAGCATTTCATGTAATCAAAAGGTCGGTTCTTAGGTAAGCTATAGACATTTTCGGGTTGCTAGGAGTTGAGGTAACACACTATAACTCTTCCTTACTACTTGTATGTCATCTACATGAGATTGCTTGCTTGTGACGGGTGGAAGAGCATGTGTGGGGCTTCGGTTCTTGATTTGTTATTATGGACATTTTTTGTGTTAGATTGTCTAAAAATGATGTATGATTAACCTTATTAATGGCTTTTATAAGCTTTAATGATCAACTTAGACCTTAAAATAATTGTTTAGGATGAGTTTGGTGGTGTTTTCCAAGCAAAACAATGTGTTTATGGGTAGCGGTATCTGTAACACCCCAAACCCATACCCGACTCTAATACGAGTCCGAGGTGTCACATTAACCGTTCAAAACGTTTACTTTGACAAAATTCAATGAAATTCAGTTAGACATTTCCACTAAAACCCAAATAATTTCTATTATATAAAAACATATGATTTTACAAATTGATCAGAGCGTTTCCAGTACAAATCTTTTATCTTACATGCCAACTACATTTCATATGACAAAATACATAATTTAAATCTATATCTGATCTGAATTGTGGAAAGAAGAATCTGAGCTGTCTTGCTCCTCTAAACTTCTCTTTTTGCTTTCCAGAACCTACGTGTGAAACACTCACATGCTAAGTCTATGACTTAGTGAGGCATTAAACACATTAAAGTAACTCTAACTACTTAATCATGCATGAACATATCATATCATGCTATCACACAAAACAATATAGCATTTCATGTAATCAAATGTACACATATACACATCATCATATCAATCATATAATACAATTCATATCACAAAAGCATATACTTTACATATAATATATATGTTTATTATTATCTCTTTGTTAGCCCATATACATCTGTGAGAACTGTAGATATGTGAGTCTATTGAGGTTGTGCACTATGTTGTCACCACAACTCGTATGGGGTCCCACTAGGGGCTATGAATTTTGTCCCGAAGGACCTATGTATTGTATTTGTCCCGAAGGACCACTCCTTAAGAACCATATGCATATTTCAATGGATCACATATGTGTCTCATAAAACCCTGTAAATGTTCCAAAGAATACATATATGTCCCGAAGGACCACGTAGAACCCTCAACTCTTGGCATGCCAACTATACCTCTAGCTCTCTTTACATATAACATGGGCATTTTCACTTATATCATTTCACATATACATTTTCATATCACCTGTTCATATAAGCTCATAGCTTCTTTCACATATACATGTAGACATATAGCTTCTTTTCATGTAATTCATCACTTTTCATATAATTCACATGTTCACATATAACACTTATGACTATATTCATGCATAAATAATAATCATATCACCTATATTAATATTCATAAAATCATGTAATCAAATGTTGGAAGTATACTCATCGCAAGTCTTTTCCACACACATCATATACTAATGCATATGCACTCACCTTGGCCTCACTAAGTTTCAATCCACTTTTATGCTTTCATCTCTTTCAATTGAATCTTAACTTGATAATCGTTCTGGAACTTGTTCGTGTTGGATATCTATAAAATAATACATTGATACATATCAGTATTCAATTGATATATGCTAATATATCATTTCTTAGACCAAAAGAAAGGTTTATTTCAATTTCTCCCTTGAAGTGCATCGATGCATCCTACCGTGTATCGATGCATCCCTTAACGTGTGCATCAATGCACTCCTTATGCATCGAAGCATTAATTGCATTCGATGTTTCCATTTTTAAGAGGTGCATCGATACACACTGAACAATTTCTGGAGATTTACCCTTGATGCATCGATGCACAACATAGCCCAGAATTCATTTTTAAACACGAAAATCTACTCAAATCAACTCAAATGCTTCATCTTTCATCCCCTTTCATGTTCTAAACTCATATATACATGCTTAAACCAATTTATATCCATATAAACCATCTTTAGCTTAAAAATTCTATTCCTTATATGTAACTCAAGAATTAAACTAACTTTGCAATATGTTTTGATTCCAATTCTATGGTTTTTAACTTCTTAATTAGACCCTTGACAAGTCAAATTTAACTTCCAACTCTAGTTATGAACTCTATTTCAAGATTTCACCCAAGAACCTTAAATCTTTAATCCCTCCTAACTCCATCATACTTTGATTTTAAGATAACTTAAGCTTTCCTTAAGCATAGTTATCAATTAATAATCAAACCCCAACCTTAAAATCAACAATTAATCCGTAAACAAAGAAACTCACCTTTGAGCTTGGAGATACGGGAGAAGGAAGAAGAAAAAAGAAAACTCTGGATAATTCTCTCATTTCCCAATTGGTTGCTTATCTTATAAAAGAAATATAAAAATCTTACTTGTCAATTAACCATTTTACCCTTTAATTCATTCAATAATTACTAAATAACCTTCATCACATTTTCAATAAATCATTGAACTATTCAATTATCCTACTTTAATCACCAATTTCTGAAACTTTACAATTTGGTCACTAACCCGGTATTTAGGATGTTACAGTATCAATAATGGATAAATTGGTATCGACAATGTTCATATTCTAGGTGAAAACTGGGTTTTCTAGGTGTCAATATCATACTAGATGAACTGGTTTAGATACCGGTCCCTTAGTATTGATATTGAAGGTTGTAGTATTGATACTAGAAGATCGGTATCGATACCAGTGGATTGGTATCCATATCAAATATACTGGTATCTATATTGAAGGGCTGGTATCTATACCAAATGAACTGGTATCCATACCGAAGGCTTGGTATCAATACCCAAAATGATTGAGTAGCTTCAAGATGCCAAATAAACAAGAGAGTTAGTAGTTTAATATCGATTGAGATTAGGTATTTAACTCGAGTATATGAGATTACTAAAATACCCTTGAGGGCTAAAATTACCAAATTACCCTTATGGGTCTAAATGAATGAAATAACCATACGAGTAAGAGTTTGAGTTACATTCGAGTTTAACAAGGATATGAGACATTTTGCTCGATAAAAAGAGTGTGCTCATGAATACTCGGTAATAATAATATAAATGACTAATATCAGGATTTTTGGCTAGGTGATGTTGATACTTTATTCACTGTATCAATACCAAAGGGTGAGATATCGATACCGATTAAAGAAGAAGTATCGATACTCCATATGGGGCTATCGATACTATAAGACTTTCTTAAATTCCAGTAGCCAGATTTGATATCGATACTAAGATGTCAGTACCAATACTGAAGTGGTTCAGTATCGTACCATCGTACTAATTCGGACATAAGCCTAATCTTGCGTTAAAGACTCGGGAAAGGGTCTAAGATAACCAAAACTTCTCAATAAAGCTTATAAGTGAAAACATTGAATAAATAATGTGATAATAATAAGAACCTTATGAAGTAAAATTCCATAAGACTTATAACTTTTTTGATACTCAAGAAAAAATGAGGACACCCGAGTTACTTGTATATTACGATAACGTACAAGTCGTCCATTCAATTCAAGGATGAATTAAGGGAAGATATGATAAGAACAACAAGAGAGTCATTATCGATTAAACAACCCTGAGTCGGGTGTTGGGCTAGTGATAATAATATATCAGTTGCGTAGAGATGAGTATTAACTACCTTAAAGGCATAAAACACTAAAAGATTAATAATCCCTTGCATAACGTTCTGGATGAGAGAACGAGCGAGCTAGTAACGGTTAAGGGGATGACCTAACCTGATTGTGATGAACTATGTTAGTAAGTAATATAGCTACCTTGATTACCCTTGTGTGACATTGATTGAGGTGTTCGACCTATGGGCACCCTTGTATATTTGTGTGTATACAACATTCGTCTTGTTTGCTAGAAATATCTAGATATATCCAAGTTAGTACTTATGCACTTAAAAACGCTAGTTGGGCGTAGGCTCCGATGCTATGTAACCCGAGAGGCGTATAAAGTATTTTGAGGAGTAGACTAGCAGGACGTAGGCTCAGATGATATGTGACCCCGAAATCGTCCTAGGTATTGAGCAAAGAGGGCATTTCTAGATAAAGATTCTGATGTTGTGTGTCCCGGGTCTTATCTAGGGTACCTTGGGTAGGATAAAGGGGTGTGAGTCCTGAGCTGCTAAGTGACCCTCTAACTACACTATGATGCTTACCCCTGTTTGTGCGTGTGATGATTGTGTGTTGTATATGATGATGCATAGTTGCACGATCTTATGGTTAGAGACCCAATATGCATATACTCACGGCGAGGCTCGTAGCGGTAGACTAAGGGAAACATAAGACTTGTACCATTTTTATAGTGGATATACTTCGGATAGATGACTAGGTACCATTGATGGCATTGTTAGTATTGCTTCGTTGACTATACTAGTTAGTATGTTTGTGTTATAATGTAGTATAATAGAGGTATTGTGTGGCGTGGGGCTTGTGAGCTCGACATTCAAAATTTGTTTCCGTTCGCATGTTACAGGTCACATGAAGTGCAATGAAACAACGATATCATTCGAGGAGTCTTAGCGGAGTATCAGAGTACAATGATGACGACTTAAAGGGCATATAGAGGTCATGATTTGAAATGATTTGACTTGTAATATTCTAATTATTTATTTTGTTTATCAAGTTTTTAAATTAGGGCCTCACTTTTGTAAATTGTTATGGTTTTATACCTTGTGTAAATATTTTAAAAGTGAGTATGATTTTAATGAAAAAAAGAATAGCCACTTCGGTGATTCTGTGTGACCCTTGAATCTGTTGGATTTGGGTGTTTTTCATATTCACATTCAGCCCAGAGGCAAGCTCAAAACAACACTATAATCTTTTTATTTTGGTGATTTGTGATAAAGTAGCTCTGTAGAAAATAATTAGGCCATCAACGAATTGAAGATGTAACACTTCAAGATTATCCGGTCCAATTTTAACACCTTAGAAGAAACTAGCTCTGGATGCTTTAGTTAGCACTGCACTTAACCCTTCAACCACGATGTTAAACAATAAAGGTGATAGGGGACACCCCTGCCTCAAACCTCTTAGAATGATGAATCTATCCATTGGAGACCCATCAACGAGTACAGAGATTGATGCAGACGAGATACACAAGTGGATCCATTTTTCTCCAGAACCTAACTTAACAAGCATCAGATCCAGGAAATCCCAGTTCACTGTATCATAGGCACTTTGAAAATCCACTTTGAACACTGCCCCTTCAACTTGTCTTCTTTTAACATAGTCCATGATCTCGTTATCGACTAAAGCACAATCCAGTATTTGTCTGCCTTTAGTAAACTCAAATTGATTCTCACTGATGATTTCCTCCATGCATTGTGACAGTCTGTTTGCCAAGATTTCCGCTTAAGTAATCAATTTTAACGAAATTTAAATTTAGAGTCTAAGATGGAGAAAAATTATCGGACTCTCAAATTAATATTAAAATTATAATTTAAATTAAAAAAGCCAAGTATTAAGTAGTAAATAATTTATTATCCCTACAGTAAATAACATTAGTAATACAAATTAAGATCGATTTAAAAGCGGGTAGGTTAGGGACTTAGGGTCAACTTCATGAAGAGTATCCCTCAACAACTTTCTGTACGAATTTGGGTTTATTAACACCAATACAATTTAATTCCCATTCTGTCGGGTGTCAATATAAAAATTAATCAAATTTGTATGGACTAATATAGATCCCCCAAAATTATAAATTTGTGTGGACTAAAATAGATCCAATTTGTAACATAAACTATTTCATCGAGTTAACTATAAAATTATTTAATTTAAAAGTTGAAAATGTAATCACATATTTTAGTACCCGTTGTTGAAAACTTAATGTATTTTGTACCTAAACTTTTGGTTTATTTTAGTATATAAACTTTCAAAAAAAAAGTAAAAACATAACGTTAAATTTTGAATGAATGTACTAAAATGAAACAAAAACTAGAGTTTTTAATGGTGGTATTAAAATGAAATAAAAACTAAACTTTAGGTATGATTTTTAAAAATTAAAAGTTTAGACACTAAACCGGACTAAAATTAATAGTTTAAGTATAAACACATAATTTATCCCAATAATAATTAAATTTATGGTAGATTGATAAAGGACGTCATTTTAATTTCGATTCATATTAAATCTTGAATTCGATTTTAGAGTAACACATGAAGGATCAAATTGAGAGCAAACTATAATTGAAGAGTCATATTTAGATATATGCATAAAAACTTTGATTTGAAAATTTTCAGAATGCTCTAACCCACATTCACTTATCTCTTTTGATCCGAATTTTACACTAAAATCGTCTTCTCAACTTTAATTCATCATTAGCTTGTTAAGAAAAATTATCAAAACCATCAATAAGTTGGTCTAATGGGATGAGACACTAGATCCCTTAAGCAATGTCAAGAGATTCGAACCCTGACGTTTGCGAATGGAGCTAATTGGGTTGAAAGGGTTGCCCTCGTCTCTGCAGTATCCGATCTGAAATAGTCGATCAATAGATTAGATACCGATGATTAATTTTTAAAAATCATAAATTAATATTTATTTTTAGGATACTCAAACTTTGACCTTCAAATCTAATCGTTAGGTTGAATTTAAAATTTCATTGTATTTCTGTGTCATTAAACACCTTTCAACCGTTTTTATTCATAAAAAATATTTTAAAACCTTTCAAATTAATAGAAATATAAAAATAATAAAAAGAGAGAAAAGTATTAGACAGAATAATTATATATAATTTGATCATTTAAACCACACTCGTTAATTGACTGAAAAGATACACAATTTTTTAATGGAGCTAGGAGGGGCCAAGGCTATTGATGGAAAGAAACTTCAAAGGTCCAATTTTGATGAATAAAAACCTTTTAGGGGGTAAATTAACTATTAAACATAAATAAACCAATAAATAAGGGGAAGAGCATAGAACACCATATGGCAACACAAATTGATCTCCATTTTCTCTAAAGATATGGGTTTATCACCAACTCAAATTGGGCATCACCAGACGGCAGCCAAAGAATGCGGCCCCATAGTTCCGGCAGCCAAATACCCTTCATCATCGTCATCTTCACTGGGATCTTCGTATTTTCCCGATGGTTCGCCTGTCAGTCCTGGAACTCCATTCCGATTTTCGGGTGTACCCTTCTCTTGGGAACATTTACCAGGGATCCCAAAGAAGCTACAAAATCACAACAAAAAGGACTACTCCATGAAGTTGCTGCCACTGCCTCCGCTGACTACCGCACTACCCTCGAAAACCAGCAGTTTCGAAGACATGTTAACGAGGAAGAAAGCATCCGGCAGCGCCTCCGAGAATTTCCGGTGGATGGATCCATTTTTCGCGGCGTCGGTCGAGTGTTCCAAGGAAGACGGTGATCAAGAAACCGACAGAAATCTCTGGACCGGAGCTAAGGTAACTAGAAGCGTGAGTGACAGGTTGGGGTTCATCAATCTTTACAGTTCGTGTAAAAGAAGTTGTGCAGTTTCGGAATCAATGGTGTATCTTCCGAGGTCTCGAAGAACTGCAGATTACGACCTAAGTAATCACCGTCGTTCTCGTTAAAAGCAATCTAATTACGCCCATCGATTATCACATTGCCATGGTGGGGTTGTGATTATGATGTTAAATAAGAAACAACTTAATTAGATTCCTCTACTCTTTTTTTTCTTCCTTCGCCTATGAAGAAGACAAGGGATGATGTCTTCAGGACAAAATGTCATTTGTAATAAATATAATATTAATGGAAAGCTGAAATTATTAGATGCTTGCCTATTATTTAATGCTTTTACGTATTATAATAGTATTAATAGTAGGTTATATCTCTTTATATAATTTTTTTTGTTAAGCTATGGTGATTACAAAGTAATATATGTTTTAAATATTTTCAATCATTTAATATTGACCGCTCAATCTCCTTGCTGCAATCGTTGGTGTTCGAACCCGTGATCTCTAATAACAACGACGATTCCTTAACCGATGAGGTGAGTTAGTTCATAACTTTATATAAATTATGCACGGAACTGTACGTGGATGATATAAATCAATGTGTATGCGGTGCTTTGGGTTAACGAGGGACTTGAGGTGAGTTAGAAGAAATATGTATACAATAGTTTCCTTGGTTTTGCTGTAAATTCCATGTGATGTTTATGGAGAATACGAGTGAAGATTACATTACCCCATGTGGGAGCAAAGAAAAAGCAATATGTTGGGAAAATTCAACAACTTAGGTTGTTGAGTAGGGGTGTGCAAAATTACCCGATCCGGATAATAAAAGGGTAATTTTTTTTAAAAAAATACCTGGCCGGATCGGGTACCTGGCCCGACACTTTTCGGATCGGGCCTGGGTCACAAAAATTGATTTTTCTGGGTATCTGGTTATCCGAGTACCCGGTTAAGTTTTTTTTTAATATATTAACTAAATATTTAATTTATAAAATTGAAATCTATATAATATATAATCTCCAATTTAAGGGAAGTGTAGTATTTAGTATTTTACTTTGTATTAAACTTGTATTTTAGATTTATCTCACTAAAAATAAGATAGTTTGTGAGTTATAACCGTCTCTTGATATAGTCTTCTATTGATATTGTAAATATTAATATTTTAGTTCATCTCTAACTCTAATTTTATTTGTAAATAAGAATAAAGTTTATTTAGTTAGGATTCTTAGATTAACTAGATCTCTAACTCATAGATCAACTAGAAATCTAACACCTTTTGTATAAAACCCCCAGTACTGCTTTTATTTTTTCACTGTGAATAAAAGTTCTATTTTCACTAGCAAACACAATTCTACATGGTATTAGTTTAGGTTAAATCTTATTTCTCATTTTTTCCCGACATTTAAATTTGTCGAACTATGTAATTCGAAGTTTCGAATATTTAAATTTGTGTGTGTTTTTTTATTTAATAGTTTGAAAAAAAATCCGGGTATCCGGGTACCCGGAACATCCGGGTTGAGACACGGGCCGAGAAATCACTGCCCCGGATGTTCCGAGTACCCGGATTTGCACACCCCTATTGTTGAGCTACCCGTAAGTTTCAGGCTTTGAGATGATGTTTGGTTTTTCTAATAATCCGAGTGATTACAAGTCAGTATATGATAAGATTCTTTCTTAGTTATTAGTAGCAACACAATCATTCGAATTTAAGATCTCTAAGGAGAATAACATAATTTTTTTTTCTTACTGAGATCGTTGAATAAATTTGGTTTGAAACGATGTTATTTTACCATTCTTTGAAATTTTATAATTTGGTTATTTTCTACTAAAACAATGAATCTATTGGCTTCTTTTTTTCCTATCGAAAATAAAAGTTTGACTCATATGCGTATCATTATAATTAGAGAAAGAGGGTCGGTACAAAAGAAGTAAAAGCCTATAGTAGAGAAAATGGAACATCTTACCAAAAATTAGGCCATGCCATCGGTCAAAGCAAGAGTAAACGTAAGTTTGTTGGTAACAAAATACTAAAATAAATTGAAAATTAAATTCTAAGATTAATGTATATAAAAAAGTATTAAATGAGAAAAAAATATTGAAATAAAGAATTAAATGTTGATTATTGCAAAACTAAGTTAAAAGAATTAATCCAATCTAATAGAAGGATTAAACATCATTTGAAAATCACAAAGAGATGGAGACGTGAGGGGGATATTGATAGATATATTTAACATTTTAATTATTCATTCACATTGATTTTGACAAGAATTTTGAATTCCATCCTACAAAAGTTATTAATAAAGAATATATAAAACAAATAGTGAAAAGATTTTAGAGTAAACTATACCAGTGACCACTCAATTATAGCCTCTTCTCAATTCGACCACCATTTTTTAATTCTTATCAATCAGATCACTCAATTATTTAAATGCATCAATCATATCACTAGCCATTAACAGTTAATCAACAAAAGTGATGATGCGACCCGACCCGATAGACAATTTAAAAATCCGACCCGACCCGACCCGATTTAATTTTTTATTTATTAAAAACCGACCCGACCCAACCCAATGTCGTGTTTCTTTTCTCTTACTTTAGCTATCCAACAAAGAATTAACATATAATTTCCTCTTCTTTCTTTTCCTTTAAGAACCTCTCTTTTCCTTTCCTTTCCTTTAACAACTTCAATCCAAAAATAAGATAATGGAAAACAAGGAGTGGGGCAAGTAGTTTATACCTTTGCCCAGTATGAATTATCTTCAAGCCTGCTATCAACGAATACTACCTCCTCAACATTCATTCTTTGAAATGGTTTCTTTGGCTGCAATAATACAAAGCTGAATATTAGAACTCTTATGAACCAAATATTAATAGATTTTACAATTAGGGTAAAGTATAGTAATGGTCACTAAACTTTTCTAAAGCTTTCATTTAGGTCCCCCAACTTTTAAAACTTTTAATACAGTCCATCAACATTTTGTCCATTTGCAATATGGTCCCCCAACAGTTACGTCGGGGACCATATTGCAAATGGACTAAATGTTTAGGGATCATATTGCAAACGGATTAAATGTTATAGGACTGTATTACAAGTTTTAAAAGTTAGGGGACATAAATGAAATATATAGAAAAGTTTAGTGACTATTACTATACTTTACCCTAAATTAATTTAGCTGAAACCCTAATTAAAAACCCAAATCTTTTTGTGGAACGTTCTCCTCATCCTCTGCCTTTTCATCGCTTTCCTCCACCAATCCATCACCTCCTCCGACGCCGACCCCATCGTCAAAGGCCGCTCCCCCGTTTACCGCTTCGTTATCCTCAACTCCGCGGCCGTTTTGTTCCTCTTCTTTCTCGTTTTGATTTCGTTTCTGATCTCCGAGACTACGTCGTTTCTTCCTTTCCCTCCTGATCTCTTCTTCGCCTTTGGGTCGGCTCCTTTCTTCCTCCATTACTCCGTTTCCGAATACGCTTCTTCTGTTCAGACGTCCGATCTAATGCGATTCCATTTCCGCCCGCGTCTCGGCTTTGGCTTCCTTGATGTGTTTGATTCTGGCTTGTCAACCCAAGCTTTTTGTGGCGGAGGTGGGCCTGGGGGCGGCGATTTGCTTGCAGGGGCTTTGGGTTTTGCAAACCGGGCTCTCGCTTTACATCGATGCTTTTATACCCGAAGGTTGTCATAAGTTGCTTGATGTTGTGAGTGGGGTCGAGGGATCCACTAAGTGCGAGCTCGATGAGTGGCGGCTCAGGGCTGTGGCGATTCTGAATCTGGTGTTCGTTGTTCACGTTATGTTTATTGTCATCATTGTGATGGTCACTTACGCTCTTGTTGCCAAGACTGTTGTGACGAGGAAACTGGAATCGTATGAGGCCTTGCCTTCCAGTGCTGCTGATAAAAATCATATTCAGATGAAGGCTTTGACTGGCACCCAGGCTTGATCCGTTTTCTATTTTTCTAACTCTCGGCTCTATCTTTTTTTCTTTCTAATGAATTGTCAGTTTGATTCTTGTTGTCGTGGCATTCGTTTCAAGGATTATTAAGCATGCCAAAGTTTTGAACTATGTAATCTGTGGCCACTTTTTGTGTATACAAGCTATTTCCATCTTTCTATACTTTATGAGCTTGCTGGTAGATATCTTCACTTCATCACTTGATCTCTCTGTCGTTGAATTCTGCGTTCATTGGATGTTAGTCATTGGTGAATGGAAAATTAAAATTAGTCCAATGTTTGATAGAATGAAGAGCGAAAAAGAAGTTGATGACAGTATGAAATCTATAATAAGGGTTTCAAGGTAAAAATTAATTTATGGGTAAAGTATAATAATGATCACTGAATTTTTCTAAAGCTTTCATTTAGGTCTCCAACTTTTAAAATTTGTAATAAAGTCCCCTAACATTTAGTCCGTTTGCAATATGGTTACTCAACATTTAGTATATTTGTAATTTGGTCTTAACTGTCGAAAGACCATATTACAAACGGATTAATTGTTGAGAGATTGTATTGTAAGTTTTAAAAGTTGAGAGACCTAAATGAAAGCTTTAAAAAAGTTCAGTGACAATTACTATACTTTACCCTTACAATTATTATCATTATTACTTAACATAAAACTACTTCCTTAATAAGAGTCATTCAAAGACCCGAAAATTGATTCTCCCTCAATTCTAAACACCATTCATCAGAAAACAACAGTTAAATCGGGGGTTAGAGAACAACTCACATCTACAGATGCTATAAGGTTAAGGAAGAAAATAAATAACATAAACATAAAAACTCTAACGTCCAACCTCAAATTAACCCAAAAAATCCAACACTAAGGTGATGTTTGTTTTTGCAGAGGTAAAATGTCTGCAGTCTACGGACTACATCTACAGGCATCTGCAGCAGAAGAGGTGAACCAAAAGTCTGCAGTATGCAAGAAGAAGACTGTTTGTTTTTTAACGTCTGCAGATTGCTAAAATAAACTGAAATATAAATAAACTGATTTTTTAAACTTAAAAAAGTTTTGCAATACTTAAATTTAAATAATTTTAGTTTTATAATACTGAAATTTAAATAATCTATACAACTACAATAATATATTTTTTAAAATAAATCAATCCATATTTTAAAATAAATAAA